AAGCTGCATTTGGCCAGCCGCAGGTGGAGGGCGCCGTGCAGGCTCCTCAGGGCCTTCGCCAGCTAGCCGAGGTCTCGGGGCACCTTCAAAACCAAATCTCGATTAGAGTCAGCTAAATGTTTTGACTTGAAGGAGACACTAAGGATTAAAGAGCAGAATAGAGCAGCATGGGGAAGAAAGAAAGAGGAAAGGAAAAAAAACTTTTAAAAAAACCTCACTGGGGACACAAAGGGAAGGCTAGAAAACACTTCTGAATCAGCGAGTCATCTGCTAACAAGCTGTAAAGACCTCCAATGACACGTTGTCACATTAGTTTAGTGAAACTGAAGCAGTACTTGTCCCCTTTCCTGTGCTTAATCTCTCCCTGCATGCCACAAAAACAGGCTACCACGTTTAACAGGATTAGTTTCATCCCCTTTCTCCCTCCACCCTTTTCATTTTTTACAATTCTATTTTCAGCAATCCAGAGACACTCGAATTCATCGACTTCCTGCAGTGCACAGCACAACCTGGCAGGCATGGTTTTTATCCTCTGCACACTTATTTGAATCTGAAAAAACCGCGGTTTGGCTATTTTGCACCTTTTCCTCCACTGAGGGACTCCGCTCCGTAAGGACCACAGCTTTAGATGGTGGGGGTGTCCTCAGTAGAAGGGTCAAGGCAAGACCAGGCCTGTGAAATGGGTGGGCGAAGCCCGGTCCCCGCAGAGGTTTTATGGTCTAGGAGAAAGTGGTCCCTTTCAGACTGCAGCCTGACTCAGGTTCCAATCCCAGCTCTGCCACTTTCTGACTCTGTGGCAGTTAAGACGGTAAAATGATCTCTGGTCTTGGATTATGAGGCCACACAGAGTAGATAATCTTTCTTCCAGCTGTTAGGAGAATTGATATGATACCCTTTGTACCCTCCCTTCTAAGATTCGCTCTCATGTTCTCTCATGCTCCTGGGATCAGCATGCCTTACAATCAACTGCACATTTTGGGTCATTTTGTGTCCCTTTACCCAAAAGGCCATATTTGAATGGATGGCCTGTCTCATAATCAAAGGCATTTTAGAATGCAGAAATGGAAGTGTGGGTGCAGAGCCTCCCGCCCAGAGGTGATGCTCAGTACATGCTAGATCCCAGCATTCTGGAAACCTCTGTCGTTGTGCATCATCACCATGCTGGTCAGCTCCTTGTCCTGCTTTCCCTCAAAGATCACTTGGGAAGATGAACAGAGGTATGGACGCATGGCCCTTCTTCCAGATTGTTCTAGACCGGGGCTCCTAACTGACGTTTCAGAAACCCGACTAAATCAAATGCAGCTAATAACTCCCAGGGCTGGATCAGCCCGTAATTGTCCAGTACTCTGCTTTTTCAACAGAATCACCCACTCTCATGAGTAGCAGGGTCCTTGAAACGGTCATTTTCCAGAGAATGGAATGATTCCATTTTCTTGAGTCCAACTGGGGTTCTACAACCAGAACCATGACCAGAAGATCGGCACTGGGGAGGGAACGGGGTGAACTGGCCTGGTGGGGAGGGGCAAGGACAGGACCTAGGGGACCAAGGAGCAGGAGCAGAGCAAGCGGAAGGAGCAAGTCTGGATCTCAGGTGAGGAGGGAGGAAGATGAGGCTGGGAACTGAGCTTGGGGACAGCGTTCAGGGGCTGCACGGCAGCGCCACAGGGGTCCGCACCCACAGCTCTGTGCCCCCCTCCACGCACACACACACAGGCGCACACACACACAGGACCCCTAGGGGAGAGCCTGGGATGTTTGGCTGCCGCCGCCAGGCTATCGGGCCAAGTCCCCCAGCCAACCCAGGATTAGCAAGCGAGCAACTTCAAAAGTCTGGGTGAGCGAAAGCCAAGACTTGTCGCTCTTCACCCGGGCTGCAGCAGAGGCCAAATTTAGCCTCCTGCCTTGGCTTTGCACTGCCTGTCCCTCACCCCCCACCCCAGACAACACAACCCCACCCCACGCACCTTGGGCCCAGAGCTGGGGCTCCACACTCACCCCAGTTCCTGCACCTGCTGCTCCCCCAGGTCGTGCTCCCCCAGCAGATTTGCACCCACGTTCTCCCCGCAACTCCAAACCCTCTTCCCTGCTGCTGCCACCCCAGCTTTCAGCCTTCTTCACCCAGCACCTTCCTCCCCAGGCGCCATGGCCCCACGCCACCCCACCGCGTTATGCTCCCCTCTACCCACCCCTGCCCAGCCAGACTCCCCCCCCCCGCCCCTCCGCCAGCCTGGCTGGCCCTGCCCCCTGCACCTGCAGGTGGCTGCCCCTTCCACCTGGGCTGCTTGGAGAAGAAGACAGAAGCTGCCAGCCGTCTCCCCCAGCCTGGCCCAGATCCTGCTGCTCCTAGCTGTCATGGAGACCTTTGCTTTTGGTCCCCTGGAGCCACAGACATTTTCCTCCAGAGCACAAAGAGCGGCCAGATAGCAGGAAGCCTCCACACTTGCCCAAAGACACCTACCAAGGTGGTGGGGCCGGCACCAGGACGGATGCTTCCTGTTGACTGTTCAGGGAGTACAGAGGCCTCATGTTTCCCTGGGTCCCACTCCCTGGGGGACCACAGATGCCCCGAGCTGGCCAGTCCCCCCAAAGCTTCCCCAAGAATACATGACCATGTTCTTCCCGACAAGGAGCTGGGACATTTCCTTGCGTCATCTCACTGGCTTACCCAGACACCTGCAGCTCTACCATTACAGGTGGGTGTCTCGGTCTGCAGTCTGCCGGTGCCGCCCTGGCCCTTTATTTCCTTAGCTTTCTTCCCCTCCCACTGCTGCTCACAGCCAGGCCTGCCACCTTCCTGCCTGTCTTCCTTCCCCTGCTCACAGCTGTCTTTGGCTGGGATCCTCCTGCATTACCTTGAGCTGTGCTTGTGGCCACTAGTTTGCCATAATTTTATGGAAGGTTATCTTTTTTACATCACATACATGAAAGAGAGTTGTTTATTCCAACATGTAAAAGCATATGACACAGGATATACATTTGTTCCTGTTTTACCTAGGAATGGTGACCTTTTTTCCTGCTTGTTGCTCCCCTGTGAATAGACCTTTTTGTCCCGTGGTCTCACTGGGCTGACTGCAGCTGCTGTTAGAAAGGTTCGCCATCCACACAGAAGGGAATGTGAAAGAGCCAAAGAGTGCAGAATAAAAGTAGATTTCAGGGTGGTAAAAGGTCGCTGTGGGCCACTGGCCCTGGTGGACAGTTCTAGGTCCAGGAACACAAGGCCTGGCTTCCAAACATGCACAAGTCTAATTTATGCTTTTTTGGCCTAGAAGGTATACAATATATGAGGAGGGTGGGGATATAAAATGCCCAAGACAGCCCCTCTTCCTAAGCTCAAAAGTGCACCTGGATGTACATTCCACGTACTTTAGCACGTGTGCAGTGGATTCTGTATCGTGAGCACCGATGGTGTACTGAACAATCGTGCTGTGTAGAAGCCTCTCGATAACTCGATGACTTGGGTATCACTCCATTTTGCAGATGGACAACTGAGGCTCAGACAGGGTGACACCCCAAGGTCACAGAAACAGTGACCACTGAGCGGTGACTAGAGAAGAGGTGTGCCTGCCCCCATTCCCGGGCCCTCCCTACTGATCTCCTATCTGGGGCAGACCCAGACATTTTTATTAGTATTTTACTTTTGAAAGCTCCTTTGGTGATTCTGATGATTCGCAGTTCTTGGGATCAACTGCTTCACATCAAACCACCCTGGTTTCCTGGTCACCAGTCTTGCCTCGAGCACCGTACTCCGCCCTGGATAAAACATTTAAAACATATTTAAATATCAATTTCGAAAAACTGTGCAGCATATGGATTTTCCTTTTGATCTCCAAATGATGACAAACAGACACTTAGATTCTTCATAAAAGAAATAGTACCAGAAAAATTATAGAAATCTGGCTTTCTACTCTGTTTCGCTCTAATTTAAACAAAATGCAGAGTTCCTCCTTCTCCCGGGATAAATGGAAAGTAGGCGCTTCCTACTCTTCTCCCGGTGTCCGGGCCTTTCTTTGCCTATTTAATTTCTATATCCTGAATAAAAGCCTTGTGAGATGGACGGTGTGGGTAACTTAAATCCTATCACCAAAGCCCAGAAAACAGAGCAGCTCCTTCGAATGCTCACCCTGCACCCGAAAGACCAAAGAACAGGAAGCCGGTACCGGCACCAAACCCTTAGATTACTTGACAAAAGGAGCCGATGGCACACCGTGAGGTTTCCAGCCCTCCGACGCCCCGCCTTCGCGCGCTCCTGGGGGAGACCCCCCTCTCCCGGGTCCCCGAGACCCGGCTGCGACGCGCCCACCCCTCAGCAACAGGCTGGCGCGGACCGGGGGGGCTGCGGGGACGCCCCCCGCCCCCCGCTTCACAGCGCTCGGGAGCAGGCCGCTGCCCCGTGCGCCCCGTGCACGCCGAGCCGCCCAAGGAGCCAGGCTGCAGGCCGTGGGGGGCGGGGCGGGGCGGGCGAGGATGGAGGAGGACACGGGTGGAGCCGCGGGCTAGGAATCCCCGCTCCCACCGGGCCCCCGGCCAGGAGGCTCCCACCTTCCCGCCCATCCCGAAAGTTCGCCGGACACGCAGGCGTGGTCCGCACGGGTTTGGGCAGCCCCGGGTCGAAGGCCGGGCGCTCAGGCGGAGGCGCACAGGCAGGGGCAGGGGGCTGGCCTGGGGGAGGTGGCCGAGGGCGCGCAGGCCGAAGGCGGGCAAGCAGCGGAAAGCAACTCCCAGGACGCAGGCCGAGCGCTCAAGCCTTGCCCGGTTGGGAGGCCAGCGGTGCCCAGGGGCCGCGCGTCCACTTTGCCCACTGCGCCCCCGCGCGCAGAGGCGTCCGCTCGCACCCCCCCCCCCAGCCTTCCTACAGGCTGATCGGGATGGGGGGGGTGGAAACTGTGTAAATCCCACTCCCTGGCACCCCCAGGTGCGGAGGGAGCGCACCCCGTGTCCCCAAGGGGTCCCATCTGCTTCTCTCCCTTTGGGTCTCCAGCTTCACGATTATCACCACCGAAGACGATCAAGCACAACCAGATAAATGTATATTTTATACAGAAAGCTTGGCCTCTCCAGACTTGGCCCTCAAAGCGCCGGGTAGGGTTGGAGAAAGCAAGTCATTTGGGGGGAGCAAGGGCGCCCCTCGAAAAGCCCGCGCAAGGCCTGCCGGGCGCCTCTCCGGCCCGCGCGGCCAGCGGAGTGGCTGGATTATGTAAGTAACCGCCACCATGTGCTAGCCACCATCTGTTAATATCTTGGTATTGGAAAGTTCGGTGCCTGAGGCAAAGCCAGGGTTGGCGGCGAAGAGAGATCCCAGCCTCCGAGTACTACTCGGGCAGGAAGGCAGCTCCCTGGGTGATATCCGTCCACGTCCGTAGAGTCGGGGCACCGTGACTTGAGACCACGGACACCCTCTCTCCCACCGCGGGCGGGCGTCTGTGGGAGGCGAGTGATTCTCTTCGAGGTCACCTTATCACGAACCCCTGCTTCCGATGAATTTTTACTTTTCTGACCATTCTGCGCTCCTTTAGGTAAAATAGAGGACTCTTATTTGGGGACAGGGGCTTTGTTATTTAAAAATTTCTCCCCCCCCACCCCGCTAGCCCCTCTTCAAATTCTTGCGTGGGTGATATTTCGACTTCTTTGCAGCGTGCGCTTCTGTTTACTTCGAAAGCTGTTGGTTAAACAAAACTCACTGGAAGGCTCTGAGCTGTGAGGTTCCCCGGAGAGCGGGTCCACAGCTGCTCCTCGCTACTGATCTGGTGGCATTTCACCCCTACCCCACTCAGAGCAGCCCCAGGTGGAGTTTGGCCTCACGCTGCGCACAGGGGGCGACGGGGAGGAGGCCCGCTTCTGTCTCTTTGCGCGCTGAGCTTGGTGGCAGGGGTGAGCGGGCCTCTCCTCAGCCGTCCTCCCTCGGAGCCCACAGCCCCAGCCTCTGGCGGGATCTAGGTGAAATGCCCAGAATTGGTTTTAGGCTCTGGCGACGGTTGTTTGCCAGGCTTTAAACCACCGGTGTGCACCGTCTTCCCTCCCACGCCCCGCTCAGTGTCTTTTAAGAAAGAGCCGGAGGGGAGACGTCCTGGCGAAGGCCGCTTAGCCCCACACCTGATGCAGGAGAGAGAAGGTGCGAGCGGACTGAGAAGGAACAGATCGGCTTCCAGATAAATAAGCAAAGGCAGCCTGCACGGAGAGGGCTGCTTAGAGACCGCTCGCGACTTGCGCTAACTTTCAAGTTACTGAGATTGTGTGAGCCAAGCGCAGACGGCGGAAGGGCTGCGAGGACCTGAGCCCGGCATGTGGCCTCGCAGATGGAGCCAATATCGAGGCCACTTCTCTTCTCTGGCTGACGGATCGCTTCTTCCCAACCGAAAACCGTCGCCGAGATAGAGGCTTGGGCCTCGCGCCTTGCTCCGGGGCCGCCGAAGCCCTGACAGCGCCCCTGGCCGGAGAGGAGAGGTCGCCAGGAGCCTGGCCCGCACGTCGCCTCGCCGGGCCGGGCAGGAAAAGGACGTCTCGGAGGTGGCAGCACGCGGAGCTGGACTCCAGACGAGCTCGCTCCAGCCCATTTCAACCCTCGGCTCCGGCTCCTGCGCCCTGAGGTGGGCTGCTAATCACTGCCGGGCGCTTGCGACCCGCGAGCCGGCCTGGGGCCAAGCGATTTTCCCTGTTTTTCCCGAAGGTTGTTACCGGCCTCCCACTTGACTTGGGCCTGAGACAGAGGACTGACGCGGGTGCGGTGCGCAGGGAGCTTTCCCCGCCGGATCCTAAACGTGATGTGTGCTGAACGTGCACGGGGCGCTAGGTGCAGCCACAAACTTGTGGGCTGAAGTTGAAAACCTCTCTCTCTCTCTCTCTCTCTCTCTCTCTCTCTCTCTCTCTCCTTTCGCCCTCTTTTCCTTCCTTGGCCTCCTCCCACTTAAACTGCAAGCTGGGCAGATGGTTTTAAGGTGTACAGGGTAAATGTCCCTTACTCCTACCACTTTTATTTGTGGATAGATACTAACTTCTATGTTAGCTTACAGATACTTAAGGAAAAAATAATAGGCCGGGGACGGTGGTTTGGATCCATTCTCACAACCCCAACTCCCCCCTTAACACACCCCGCTTACCTCGAAAGGGACCCAACCAATAGAAGCATTATTATTCCACACTGCAGCTCATGGGCATGTTGGGAGCCATTTCAGTTCCCAGCCTAAACTGTCACGTCCCCATTAGAACACTGGATACACTAGCCTAGCGATCGCTGGAGGCATGAGTGTGAGGGTGAGCATTTGCACGGTGGAGGGAGGGGTGTCTGGGGGCGGGAAAGGGCCTGCAGAGGGCTGGTGATGCTCCTGAAAGCCTTTCTTATTGCTGACACCAACCTGGTTGACCTTATTATTCCTCCTCCTCTTCCTCCTCCTCTTCTTAACGTTTGAATTCCGTGCCTAAAGTTTCCCACAGAGTATACACTGTGACATACTAACACCGCTGTTCTGATTCAAAGAGGAGACTTCCTATCTCTTCACAGTTTGATGAACCTGAAGCTGAAATTGTAAATGTCCTAGAAAGGCGTGGTGTCCCCCCCCCCCCCGTCGCAGAAGATGGTGGTAATAGCCAGCCAGCCTGGGGTTCTAGCAACGAACCTCATAAATACTCTTGTCACAACACACGATTCAACCTTTGATCTGACTAAATGTGAGGGACGCAGGAAAACTGCTGGTCCCCGTTCAACCTAAAAAACATGCATCTACTGGAGTAGGCATGAAAGTTTCTACTTCCCAGCTCCTGCGAGCCCTAGCTTTTATAGGATCTTTAAGTGATAAACTCGCCTGCTTTATTAAAAGCCGTTTACTGTCCCCAGCGAAAGGCATCTTCTCTCTGTGGCTGGAGGCTCTCTCTTCAGCGTCTGTTACCTTGCAAAGCCCAGAGCTGCCTTATCTAGAGAACCCGTGCTGGGTATTTCTCATCTCAGAAAGTCAAGCCAAAATGAACTTTCTTCGGTTTCAAGTTGGAGTCTGAGATTCTAGCGTTTGATATGTCTTGCCTAATAAACTTTAAACTTTGTTACCCAGGTGTCAAAATCGTGTAAATCCAGTGTTGGACTGCGCTCCTGAGTCGGTCTGGGGACACTGAGCGAGATAATGTTTGTAACATATACTTTTAAATAGCTGCTGTATCCATAGTCCCAGGGACCCTGTCAGAGGTGGTGGTGGTGGTGGGGGTGTAAATATTCTTGTTCCCAGTAATCTTGCTGGTGGTTGACTGGGGCTCAGCCAGTGTTGCTCCTTTATATCGGATGCAGCGAGCTCAGCGTTAAACCTCCGCACGTATCATTTTAATCCCAGACCTACCTGCATCTCACAGTCCACCCCCTCTTTAAAAGGAAGCGTGACATGTATTGCGGCTCCTACCCAGGATCGCTCTAAAAACGGACTGATTTGTGGACCCTCCACTCCCTCCTTCTGCATCACCGCCACCCCGAAAAGCCCCACTTTGTCTCCAGTATACTTTTCCGTGCCTTCCTCCACCCGAGTCCGAGGAGCGCTCGCTCCCTCGCTCGCTGGGGCGCGGGGCGAACCCGATCAGCTGTATCTGGGAAATGGAAAAAAACACGCACAAGCACACACACGCGCGCACACACACACACGCGCGTACACGGCGGCGAGGACCGGCTGCCCGGGAGCGGCGCGCGGCCCGCAGATGGCTCTCGGCGGCCCGGCCGGCGTCGCAGCGCCCGGAGCAGCGCGGCCGGGGAGGGGGCCGGGGAGGAGCCGCCGCTCCGCTCTCCCTCCTCTCTCCCCAGCCCGCACCCCCACACCCACCCCTTTTATATATTTTTTTCCTCCCAAGTTCTCTTGCCTCGCCGTCCCCCCTTGAATCCGAAGGCGCCTCGCGATTGGGTGCTGGGGCCGGGTACGTCAGTCGGACTGTGACGTGCAGTCTTCCTGTTTCCTTCAGCTGCGTCTTAAAGTAAATCTTGCGGAGCGGAGCCCTCAGCCGAGGGAGCGCTCGGAAACCCACGGCGCTGCAGCGGGCGAGCCGAGCGGCGCACGCTCAGGAGCCGGGGCCGGTGCGCCCGCCCGCGCCGACTCACCGGCCCGCTCCGCCCGCGCGTCCGCCACTCGCGAACCAGCGCGCGCGTGTTTTCCGCTCCCTGCCGGCGACAGGGAGAGCGAGCGAGGGGAGAGGGCGCGCGAGGCCCGTCCGCCGCCCTCGCGCCGTAAGTACCTCTCCCTCGCGAGGGCCTCCCCTGCCCCGGTCGCGCGCGGCTGCGGGAGAGTGGCACGGAGCGGCGCCTCGCACTCAGCCGCGCGCGCCCCGAAAGTGGTGCTGTTGGACGCACCGCGTCACAGCCTCGGGACACTTTCCGAGCCGGGACCCGGCGCGGCGCGGCCCCGCTCCCGAGGCTGAGGGATCCCTGGCTTTTATCTCCTTCCCCTGCCTGCCAGGGGCTGGGGTCGCCGGACTTGTCACCTTTTGTGTCCCGCTTCTGCGGTGCGGGGAGGCGTCCGCTTGCTCCCCGCGTCTCCGCCCTCCCTTTTCGGGAGAGAGGACCGCGCAGGAGACCGGGTCGCTTTTTGTTCGCCAGGGTCGCCGCTCTCCGACGAGCCTCCCCTTCCCACCTCCCCGGGCGCAAACTCCGGGCTCCTCCCCAGCCCTGCGCCTTTGTCTGGTTTATTATAGCCGCCTCTCGGCCGGGCTCCTCCAATTTGCTTGTCATTTGCATACCTTCCCCTTCTCCTCTTTAACCGGGCGCCGGGCCCGGAGCCGGGAAGGAGGCGCAGGGGAGGGGGCGCCCTCACTTTGCTCTCCCTGCGCGAGCCGGGCTGCGATGCTGAAATCGGGGCGGCAGCGGGCACCGCTGGGTCCCGGGAAAGGAGCCCCGGGGTCGAGCGCAGTCGGTAAGGCCACGCCGCCAGCCGGGGCAGCAAGGCTGGGGAGCCTGAGCCCGCGGGGCGGGCGGGCGGGGATGGGTGATCTCGTCCCGGGCTGCGGGGCGCGGACCTCGTCCCGGTGGTACCCAGGGCTTCGCCCCAGTCTGGAGGACGGGGAGGCAGGAGGGCCGAGGTGAGGGAATCGCGGCTGGAAGCGCAGCGCCCGGAGAGAGCTGGGCGGGAAGAGGAGGCAGAGCCGCGAGCCCGGCCGAGCGGACGCGGGAGGGGCCGGAGCCGTCGCCCGAGTCCAGTTTGGCGAGTTGCTGGTTCCGCAGCGGGCGGGACGGAGAGCTCCGCGCCGTCTGCGGGGATGGGGCCCGGGTGGGCACGGGGCGCAGCTCCCACGCCGCGGGGCCCCGGCGCCTTTCCAGCGCCTTCCGAAGTTGAGACTCCTCCGGGCCGCCCCGAGCAGGACCGGCGGGGGGGGGGGGCGGCGGCTGGACGTCTCTTCCGCGGCTGGAGGCAGAAACTGCCCTTCTTGGCAGCCCGAGCCCTACTCCGCCTGGGGGAAGGCTGCGAACTCACCTGCTTGTTTTTATTTTTCTGAGAAGGTCTGTGTTGTCTCCTTAAGCTTATGAAAACAGAGCAAGCCCAGGGTGGCCTCCGTTGAAAGTCAAGGCTAGAAAAGTCTCCTTCACTCCCCCCTCCCATGCCTTCTCTTACCAAAAAAAAAAATCATTTCCTCTCCTAAAGTAGGCAGGCAGACGTCTGTTAGAGTGCGCATGGGCAGGGCCTGACAGGTGTGTTGTGTCAAGAAAGACAGGTGTAAGTTTCCTCCTGTCTGCTTGTGTGTGCGCGTCCCAGACCACAGGGCTTGCTGGAGGGCTGCAGAGGTTTTTGAATTTAGGTTGCCCTGGCTAACAAGGGTTCTGGGTTAGGGGGAATGGGGCTGCGGTGGTGTTTTGAGCCCCACCATGTGAGCTCTTTGGGAAGGGCTGGGGGGCCGAGAGGTATGTATGTGTTTATTTTTCTTTAGGGTGTTGGCAGGCCGCTGCTGAGGCAGCTTCTCAGGCTTCTGTCTGCCAGGGAGCCAAGAGCACCCCCACTTCAGGCAGCAGGTGGAGGGAGATTGATTTTCCTTTTGGGTCTCTCCAGTTTATGCCTGTCTCATTGGTCTGTGCTTGGCAGAGAGGGAGGGGGGGAGAGGAGAGAGACATCCTTTGTGTGTGTGTGTGTGTGTGTGTGTGTGTGTGTGTGTGTGTGTTTTGGACAGCCAGGGTGGTGTGTAACTGCCAAAAATACCAAAGTCAGTTTGAAAGTGTTAGTGGTGTTAAAGCTTATCTTTTAGCTTGCTCGCTCCTCCCTGCCCTGCCCGGAAAGAATAGGTATGTGTGATGTGTGTGAACTCCTTCAAGGTATATGTTCAATAATCTCCTAAAGTACGAATGCGCCTGTCACTGTACCAGACATGTGCCAGATGTCCTAGATAGGACTTTGATGGAGAAGGGAAATCTTCAGCACATGAGAGCTAATTGTGCTTTTCTGTTTGATGTAAGATTCAGGCAGTCAGTCTATGAAGAGTTTCTTGCACAAACTTCTGAGTATTTTTGAAATGAAATGGGCTGTGTTTGGTAAGGAAGGAAAAGGGAGCATATTGGAGTTAGCCTGTGCATGGGCAGATTTATAGAAGGGTAAAACAAATGAAGTTAAGGACTGTGGCTGGATGTGTGAGCGAAGATGCTGGGAAATCAATGAAGACCCTATATCTGGATTCTTAAAACTTAACTTTTAAAACATTTTTCTTTATCAGGCTACTGCTTTAAATTGAGCTGCATAGTGAGTAGGTTAGAAGATAAATGGCTTTTGTTGGTTGGTTTTGTTGTTTGCATGGTTATCATTGTTTCTAAGAAAATGTGATAGTATGTGTCATGTATTTTTTCAACTTAAACGTCAAGCCCCCCCCCATATTTTCCGTGGATGCTTTTGAAGTTCTTTGATGATTAAACTGTCATCTATGGCTATGTTTGTTTACTTTGTTTCTAATAGAGGTCATCTGTGCTTGGCACTTATTGATATTTTTATGCATCCATTATGCAGGATTCTATTTAGTTTAATCACCACCTTGTGGGAAAAAAAGTCATGGATATACAACATGCATCTTTGTTCTCACTTTACTCCCTGGCTAGCCTGGCTCTCCCCTGAGTAGCACATGCCATCTTAAAACCTCAGCTAACTTATTCTATAAGTTGCCACATCTCCTCTTCATCTACTCAAAATTCAAAAAAGGCCTTTTTTTATCAACTTCCTGGAGCATTTCAGGGATTGTCTCAAATTTGCAATATCAATATGGGGATTTTTACATTTAGAATTTTTAAAAGAAATTATAAAATATTAGTGGTGTGATAATGTAAAATAGATTATGCATGATGTACTATGATAGAATTCCAATTAAATCTTTTGAATAAATTGGAAGGGACATATATAAGGGACATGCAAGGAAGGAACATATAATTCTGAACTTTTACTGCCTAGTGTATTCAAAGCCTCAAACAATACTTAGAATAGTCCAAATTTTGCAAAAAAAAGAAAAAAGTGTAAGTGTGTTTTCTTAAGATGCCTCCTTACACTTCTATTTACCCAATTTGATGAATTATTACTTCTAGATAAGTAGAAATCAATATTGTAGGCATGTCTCAGACAATGTTATGCATTCATTTTGCAGAAGAAAAATGTGTGGAATTTTTAATAGGATGGAAGAATCATAAATGAAATGGTTACGATTTAAGAAGTCTGTCATGATAGGAAATTTAAAAACCTGTCAATATAATCTTAGTTACGTGAAGTATTCACTTATGTCAAGTGGGTTCTTCAAAATAGATATTAAAAGCTTCTTAACCTGGTAGTGAGCAGAAACATCTCTAAAGGAAAAGTGCTAATCAGCATAAACGAACTCTGGAACACAGCAAAGGAAGGGGAGCTTAGACTTGGGGGTACGTGCGTCAAGTCCTCTGATTTTTCAGATTCCTCTACAATACTCTCTATTCAAAAAATACCACTTAAAATGTCATAGCCAGGTGAACCCCAAGAAGTCGATTCAAGGCCCCTTTAAAGATGACATTCTAAAAGAAGTAATAAGCAAATTCTTCAAATAATTTTATCAACAAAGACAGATAAGCTAAATGATCCAAGCAGGAAACCAAGCTAACCTTACGCTTTCACTGCCTTGTAAAAGATTTGTCTGAACTCTCTGGATAGTTACCAGAATGAAACACTTCTTTGTCCAGGGTCTGGACAAATAGACGTGTAGTAGAAGTTGCATCTCCTTCCCCCAAATAACTTCTTTATTACAGTGCAGCACTGAACCACTTTCTGTTCATATTGCAATGTTCCTTTGAAATTCTTTACTGAAAATGCTTTTCTGCTAACATTGCATCCTTAGGATTCTCTAGGTTAAAGAGAATGTCAGATAAGTCAGATTTTAATGAATCTTTTGAGGTAGTTAAAAATCTGACTTGATTATATCTTAGTGTTTGTTCTTATCTTTTCTGAGAGGAATTGCTATGCTAAGATATCTATTGTGTAGCAGTTATTAAAGGATTTGTATAGATTTAGATGCCAACTGGTGCAGCAAATAACAATCAAAAATTATAGGTAGATTTTTACATTAATTAAAGAGGAGTTTATAAAAATAAGATATATAAAAAAATAAGGTATATGTCTTTGCTCAATAATAATTTAGGTTCAATTTCCACGTCAATGTTTTTTCTATCTTCCTGCTGATATTAATATTCACCATTTTGATACGCTGATCAGAAAGCTTCATGTTGCTTGGCCACATTCATAATTAATGTTAAAATGATGAAAATATTATAAGAATCGATAGGAATTATTGTGACAACATTAAGGTGGAACATATATGTGAAGACATGCAGGAGTTTTTGAAAATCTTGCTGGAGAGGAAGGACCATATAAGTGATAGTCATTACATAACATCCTTTCGATTCTGAATTGGGAAATCATAGAAACACTTGGGAAATGTTTTTTAAGTGATCTGATTTATATTATGAGTATCTGATAATGCATTTTATTATAGGGTAAATATACTCATATGTGTATGTTGTCTATGAAATATGATGCTAGTAAAGGACTATGTGTTCCAGTTATATTGTTTATCTTGGCTATGGCCTCTGTGGATCTCAGTGTGTGCCACCACGCTAAACTTTATTTCTAAGTTTAGGGCTAAGCTATGGGGAGAGCTGTTTTCATTTGTGCCTCATAATACAGTGTCTCTTACTGGACTGTATGATTTTTTTCTATTTCCCCCCAGTTGTCCTGTTCTATTTGTTATGTCTCACCTAGACATTTTACAGTAAGACCTAAAGTTATTTAAATTCTCTTAGCCCAAAACAGAAAGAAAGTATTATTGAATTTAAAAACGCTCACTGCTTAAAAGACAACTTTGAAAACTCAGTTTGGTTTGAGGAATTTGGAGAAAGTTACAGAATATCTAGTTCTTCATAGACTCAGCAAACATGTTTAATTAACACTTACTCTCCACTGAAGATGAAAGCATCATGTCTTCCCCCCTTAGGAAGAGCCCAGGCCTCTTCGAGGCTTCAGTGAGAGGCAGGGATGCAGCTGTTGATACCTAGGCTAAAGGAGAGGAAGTGAATTGGATGTGGAGGTACATGGCAGGTGGGAAAGGAAGGATGCCTGGGATGACCTTGTGCTCATCAAGGACACCAGCATGTCCTTTTGGAGCCCCTGCTACATCTTCCCATGGCAAGGTGGGCAGGAGCAAAATCCAGCTTGTGTGTTAAGGTGAACAGGGGGGAAATACTGCAGGAAGTTTGAGCAACATTTTGATTAGCGATCCGCATGCTTTGCTGGTGCTATTAAAGAGAAAAATATTTGTACACAAAAAGGAGATGATGTTTTTAAACTATAAGCCATAGTTTTGGAAATCTGGGATACATACAAAAGAATCTTCTTGTGCCCCCCCATCTAAGTGTTCCTGAAACTAATAGATCTTTGAAATAATTCTGCCTTTTTCTTCTTCCTCTCACCTGACAGCTATCCCTGATTTATCAGATCTAATGTGTCAGTGAAATATTTGTCACTGCCTTTTTGTATTCCTGAAACCAATTTTATTAGTAGTATGTGAGAAGTCTCAGTCATTCTGAATCTAATTTTGAGCCCAATATTAAAGTTATTGAGACCTCTATTTCCATTCCAAAGTTCAGGATATTTTATCATAAAGTATACAGGAAGTATTTCATCCTTAACATTACAAAAATATATAGAAAGAATTATCATCTGGCTTTCATGATACTCTAGAACAGCCTCTTTTAAAATTGTATTTTCGACACCAAGATCAAATATTGCATGATGAAATCTCTGCCAGGATAAAAAACATACATATTGTTGCCATGTAAGCATTGAGCATTTTCTTGATTTTTACAGGTTATTTCATGCTGAAATTATGCCTATTTGCATGGATAGTCATTCTTTAAAACTAGCCACAGATGCAGTCCTGGGGAGCACGTAGATGTTTTTACAGGTGAACCGAAAGAGATGGGAGCTGTTCCAAACACTCTGCATGCTGCCTTTGGCAATAGAGCCTGTTATTGTGAAGATGTGCTCCGTTAAGCGAATGTGAAGTTCAATATCAGATAAACCTGGCATGAAAAAAAAATATTTTCATTTTCTTCATGAAATGTTAATTGTAAACAAAAAGATGTGACATCTTACATGGATACAAAATTTGTGATCAGTGTTGCTGGTTAATAAGTCACACAATATGTCAAGTGCCTTTTATAAAAGGCAAGCAAGGATATTCCTTTTTTATAGTCTGTCCCCAAGAATCAAAGAAAGTATTTCCCTTACTCACATATTTGGTTGATGTCTTATTTTTTCTTTCTATATCTTTCAACTGGTTGTTTTTTTTTCCTTCCTTTTCTTTACCAGGGGAAATAAGATGCACAAAGGATGAGAGCTAAAGGGTTTCTTTAGGCATTTGGAGAACTATTTGGCAGATTTTTACATAAGAAAACTAGTACCAAAGATGTATTTATTCTTGCCTTGTCCAATAATTTATTAGTCTACCTATTAATTTCTAAAATGTGACAACAGCCTTCTTTTGCAGTGAATCCAGTTTTCTAATAATCAAGGCCATCAAAAGGGACAATATGAAAATGTAGAAATATGCTCATAGTGACATTTGGATATAGCAACAGATACCATCATCACATATGACTTTAATAATAAAAATGTGTAACTTTGCTAAATGAATAATCTTGTAAAATGAGTATGCATTGATTTCAGTGCTAAATTGATCATTTATGTTTGAAAGGTGCTGGATGGGGTGTTCTTCCCATTTCACATAAGACAAAAATATTTTAAAATTCAGTAATAAGAGGTATGCGTTGTATATGTGTATTTACCTTGGAGTCTTTTCCTTTAGTAGCAGTCAAACCACAATAATTTTAATGGAGAAATGGAATTTATCATCCAAATTTCACGCAGCCTCAAAATTTAACCTTATTTCTTAAGTATAGACCACTTGCATCTTCTTTTATAATGTGAATCTCAAAGCCCAAAATTTAATCAATTGGTTGTCAGAGGCTGTGTTCTTATAATCTACTGTTTCTTCTGAAGATAAACAGTATCATTTTAGGCATTTGTGAAAGGGAATCATATTACTGGTGCTTAAGCAGTTTTTGCTTTTTTTAAAATCTTAATCCATCTTAAACCAGTGGAGCAGAAATATTTAAAAATGTTTCATTTCAAGCAGAGTGCATAATAAATTGCAATAATTGTAATGTGCCATAAATCCCAGAGCCTATGCATTTTGCATTTGATTCAGGATTGAGGTCAGGAAATTTGGAGAAATTTAAAGAAAATGATTCATCAGTCCTTTTGTTCTGTTGGCCAGGGTCCCGGGATTCTTGAGCTGTGCCCAGCTGACGAGCTTTTGAAGATGGCACAATAACCGTCCAGTGATGCCTGACCATGACAGCACAGCCCTCTTAAGCCGGCAAACCAAGAGAAGAAGAGTTGACATTGGAGTGAAAAGGACGGTAGGGACAGCATCTGCATTTTTTGCTAAAGCAAGAGCAACGTTTTTTAGTGCCATGAATCCCCAAGGTTCTGAGCAGGATGTTGAGTATTCAGTGGTACAGCATGCAGATGGGGAAAAGTCAAATGTACTTCGCAAGCTGCTGAAGAGGGCGAACTCGTATGAAGATGCTATGATGCCTTTTCCAGGAGCAACCATAATTTCCCAGCTGTTGAAAAATAACATGAACAAAAATGGTGGCACGGAGCCCAGTTTCCAAGCCAGTGGTCTCTCTAGTACGGGCTCCGAAGTCCATCAGGAGGATATATGCAGCAACTCTTCAAGAGACAGCCCCCCAGAGTGTCTTTCCCCTTTTGGCAGGCCTACTATGAGCCAGTTTGATATGGATCGCTTATGTGATGAACACCTGAGAGCAAAGCGTGCCCGGGTGGAGAACATAATCCGGGGTATGAGCCATTCCCCCAGTGTGGCATTAAGGGGCAATGAAAATGAAAGAGAGATGGCCCCACAGTCTGTGAGCCCCCGAGAAAGTTACCGAGAAAACAAACGCAAGCAAAAGCTGCCCCAGCAGCAGCAGCAGAGTTTCCAGCAGCTGGTTTCAGCCCGCAAAGAACAGAAGCGAGAGGAGCGCCGACAGCTGAAACAGCAGCTGGAGGACATGCAGAAGCAGCTGCGGCAGCTGCAGGAGAAGTTCTACCAGATCTACGACAGCACCGATTCTGAAAATGATGAAGATGGGAACCTGTCCGAAGACAGCATGCGCTCGGAGATTCTAGAGGCGCGGGCCCAGGACTCCGTGGGGAGGTCAGACAGTGAGATGTGTGAGCTGGACCCAGGACAGTTCATCGACCGGGCTCGGGCCCTGATCAGAGAGCAGGAGATGGCTGAAAACAAGCCCAAGCGAGAAGGCAGCAACAAAGACAGAGACCACGGGCCAAACTCCTTGCAACCGGAAGGCAAGCACTTGGCTGAGACCTTGAAACAGGAGCTCAACACTGCCATGTCACAAGTTGTGGACACTGTGGTCAAAGTCTTCTCGGCCAAGCCCTCCCGCCAGGTTCCTCAGGTCTTCCCACCTCTCCAGATCCCCCAGCCCAGGTTTGCAGTCAATGGGGACAACCATAATTTCCACACCGCCAACCAGCGCCTGCAGTGCTTTGGCGACGTCATCATTCCAAACCCCCTGGACACCTTTGGCAATGTGCAGATGCCCAGTTCCACAGACCAGACAGAAGCACTGCCCCTGGTGGTCCGCAAAAACTCCTCTGACCAGTCTGCCTCCGGCCCGGCCGCTGGCGGCCACCACCAGCCCCTGCACCAGTCGCCTCTCTCGGCCACCACGGGCTTCACCACCTCCACCTTCCGCCACCCCTTCCCCCTCCCCTTGATGGCCTACCCATTTCAGAGTCCATTAGGTGCTCCCTCTGGCTCCTTCTCGGGAAAAGACAGAGCCTCTCCCGAGTCCTTAGACTTAACTAGGGACACGACAAGCCTGAGGACCAAGATGTCATCTCACCACCTGAGCCACCATGCTTGCTCACCAGCACACCCACCCAGCACGGCCGAAGGGCTCTCCCTGTCGCTCATAAAGTCCGAGTGCGGTGATCTCCAAGACATGTCCGAAATCTCACCCTATTCGGGAAGTGCAATATCCTTTTATTTTCCCTTCAAGGAACAAACAAAACAACACAAAGCGAAAAGATTGCCCAAGAGGCTAGCTTGATACCGTGTGTAGGATGATGTAGATCAGTCTCTTCTCAAGAATGAAATTTTCCCTATTATCCAACCTAACAGGCTCTCAGCAGTGTACAGGTGGCATTTCTGATTGCAGGAAAGCTTCGACCTAAACTAGTGTTTGCAACGTTCACAAGTTGTTGTTTGCCTCCAGGAGCTGGTGTCTGATGCACTTTCCCAGCACTGTCGTTTTTTCTTCTGCTGTTCCTGTATTCATTCTCTCCCTCTCTCTCTCTCTCTCTCTCTCTCTCTCTCTCTCTCTGTCTCTCTCCCTTCCTCCCTCCCTCCCTCTCTCTGTAAATTCAGAAATTGCAAAAATCTTCTCATTGTACACTTTGAGGTCTCTCAGATACTTTATAAAGATAGCACGTTTTATCATGGAGTAGGGAGAAGAGTCAGATCTGTAAGATTCCACTAAGAAAATCCTCACCCTTTAGTTTACCTTCCCCAAAGCTCCTGGTCCCCGTAATGAGGGCCCAGTTAGATCTCACGAAGTGCACTTTATTGATGGGAAGCTGCTAAGCTGTCACAGTGGGAGAAAGGCAGCTATGGGTGGGAAGTTAGTTTCTCTCTTTAATTTTTAAGCAAGACTTTTTTCTTTAAGGAAATACACAGGTACTGATTTATTCAGACGGCATCAGCCTCTCTCGCTCACCCAAAGTCTGTTCTTTGGGCCTGGTGCAGCTGCTTCTATGCATGATTAACCTCTGCTCAGCCATACACAGAAATCTTTTGTCCTAACATACACAAAGCAAATTATTTTGGAAAGCAAAAGAGCACAATTAAATATAAAACTCAGCAGTATTAGACTTAAAAAATGGCTCTTTTTATGACTCCTTTAAATTCTGATCCTGACCTTTATGTAGAGATGCTGATTATATTTTTTGGTAGACATACCCTGAACTCCTGCTATTTTTAACTGATTTATCTTTCTCTGTAAATCAGGCCTTTCCTTAAATTTTTAAAAACTCTCATAATGGTTAGTCTTTTGGGGTAGTAGAATAATAATATTTGGAGGCAGGTGGAGGGATGTTTCTTATATAATAAATTACCAGATGGATGTAAAATTTAGCAATTAAGTTGGCTGTTACTAAATTGAGGATTTTGAGCAATCATCTTGATGACTAGAGACTGACATTTTAGTATTTGAGCCCACTCCAGAGGCTGACACGTAAGTGTGAAGTCCCAGCTATGGTGGAGATATGTTGTCCTGGGTCTTCTCCCCAGCCAGCTCTCAGGATGGTAGGGAAGCCTTTTGGGGAGGTGGATTGAGCCACAGGTATGAGACCCCTGGAGCACTTAAACATGGAGTTGCTTTCGTTGCTGAGGAAGAAGAGAGGCCAGTCAAGAGAGAGATGCTGAGGTCTCAACGTGAGTCTTGGCTTGGTTGCTGATTTAACTTCAGCCTTTCAGAGTTCTAAAATGCAATGCACCAGTCATAAAGCTACGCTACACCAAGCGCTGTGTCTTTAATGTATTGTAAACAGGCAGAAAAAGCTTCGTCAAGATGATGGCAATAGAGCTATTGGTGATGCAAAAGGTGGAGTAAGACCCGAGGGGCGAATGGATTTTCACCCTTCACAAGAAGAGCATCTTTCAAAGATCGTGTCAATTCTAGACCCTGTCAGGCCTCAGAGATCCTTGAATTTCATTTTGAAACAAGTAGGAAAGTAGAAGTGATGTAGGCTCTTCCGTCAGGCAGAGAGAGAGACAGACAAAACTGGAAGCCAGGCTTCATAGTTCTAAAACTCTTGTTCCTGATGCTAGTTTATATTCTTTAACTTAGACTTCTCACTATTACCAGATAACTCTAATAGTGCCTTTTTATTTCTTTTTAAGTTAGTTTAGTCTTCTAGGGAAAAAAACCAATCTTTTACATTGCTTTAAGTGTCAGCCATGAACACATTGTCTTGCTTGCCCTCTCTTTCTAAATCCCCAGAGGAATTTCGAGGATTTGAATGAATGAGTTCCTTCTACTTCTATAGGTATCAAAGGCTGTAAAGAAACTATAGTTACTTCTGCCGAGAAGTAACTTCTGCTGAGAAGCAACTTCTCCTGTGCCCTGCCAATAAGATCCTGTCGAGCAGTGATGGTGGTAAACACCCTTGTTTGTATGAAATGTTAGTTGCCGACACCTGGAGGTCTTTGCTTCATATGGCTGGATGTTTGAGCCTCTTGCTGCAATTAATGACTGTATTTTTTTGCTTTTTGACCTTCTAACCTCTGCTACTTCCTTCTTCTCTTCCGCTACATTGTACTTTTAACCATTCAGGTCATTGGCATACATATTCTTTCCCTGGAAGAAGAGGATAGGCAAGTGATATTTGCTGTAGTCCCACAGTTCTGAAGTAGCTGAGGGTCCAAGTATTTGTTGTCAGATTGGATCGGATTCACTTTGCTCCTGTTTCTATCTCTGTATGGCAGTGAGTTCTTCCCTTGATTTACCAAATAGTGTACATATCCCACGATTCTACCCAGTTATTTGGACAAATCTTTCCAGACAGATTTCTCAAACTTGGTTTGAAGAAATCTCTGGGCATCACAGTGATGTTTTACTCCATCTGGAGGGATACAGGGCCATATTTGAACCCGTTGTACAGTGATTCCTAGAAAAGAGCAATAGAAATGAGTTGAAATGGCACCACTACGATCGCCAGTAGTACGTTTCCATTTTTAGGTTGTGGTTTTCCAAATTGCTATAAATAATTTAATTCCTAAGGAATGATTCCTCATCCAAAGGGCATCATCTGATTTTTGAACAAACTAGCCAAGATAAGAACAATTTAGTACATCAGCTTGTCAAAACAGCCCATTGTAGATTAAGTGCACCAAACATACCTGTGCTACAGATGAGAGCAAACTACCTGGGCATCCTCTTGAGAACGAAGGAAACCTGGATGTGTGCACCTTAAGCCAAATGTCAGTGCACCTGGCCAAAGAGCTCAAGTCTTGAATTTAAAAAATATGTTCCAATGTTTTTGCAAATGAACCTATTTAACCAAATATTAAGTTTTATTCAAATTCAAAAAGAAAAAGACAGCCAATTGCTTTTCTTCGTGATGTTCCTTGCCACTCATCCTCTTTGCATCTCAAGAAAAATAGCCTTGTTTAGGCCTCAAACATTTGCATTCACCCAATTAAAGCACAAGAGCAGTATTATAAGCCATTAAGATGTGCAGGCGAAGAAACTGAGCCTGTTTCCTGTGACAGTCTGCTTATCCCTACTCCACCCTTAGAAATAAGGTTGAAAATACTCAAAGTTTAGACAGGAGTGTTTTTAGGGTTATGAAATTAAAATCCAACCCAAAATCATGGCTTAGAAATGAATTTCTGAAATGTGGAACAATCTACAGAAGTTGATCTTTTACATTTTTAGGAGTCTTGTGGGTCCATCCTAGTTATTAGTGATGGTGAAGCATGTAGATTAATGACTCCTAACCACCTCAAACTCCAGAAAAAATATAAAGTAAACTTTTAAAAAAAGATGTCTATATGCTACCCATGCCACTGATGATGCTGAACTTGTCAGTGGAGTCACAAACCTCCTCTGTCACTGCCATTACATGAGAGTCCAGAGCTTTGCTCCCCATTTGAGGTTTTCAGGGAAAGCCCTTAGAAATAGTTAATCCAAGAATAAGGGGAAAACCAAAATTCTGTAGGTTCCAAACTGCTTTGGAAGACGTAAGCAGACCCAGTGCATTTGCTCGGAACTGCTGCATAACCTATCTAGCCACCGTGCAGATTTCTCTTGGAAAAAAAAGAATTTTCCTTTGCAGCCTTCACAGCCTATTATTCTTCCATTTGCCTTTTTGCTGCTTCGGCTGCTCCTCAGCCGCTGCTGTTTAGGTAAGGTTATATTGTGCTTGGTAAACAGACAGCACTTAGATTCTCAGGTTGTTTGGACCCCACTGTAGGATCAGCTGCACTAGCCTGCTTCTCTGATCTTTTATATTCTCGAGCAGATGTCTTTCATTAATTTATGGATTTATCATCTTTTCTTCTTCTTTTTTCTTTTTCTTTTTTTCTTTCTATTTTTTTTTTTACACCTGGCAGCTGTCTCAAGTTTCAGCAGTTATTGTCTATTTTGCATTACACATAGAATTGAATGTCATCTGTCTTCACAAAGCTATGGCTAAGAGAATTGAAGCAAAGCCACACGAGCCGAGCCGCGGGGACAGATCTTGTTTGCGTTCCATCCCCTCCCCCCACCCCCTTACCTCCTTAATATTTATTTGTGCTCATTTTCTTTCCTGGCCTTGAATGGAGCTTAGCTCGTGTTCAGTACAGCTGTATGTTTACTGAATCTCTTCCATCGTGAGTCATTGTGCGTGTGTAAGTATCCAGGAAACAGCTACTGCTTTCTTGGAAGAACAGTTGCTTTTCAGCACAAGCACTTAAAAGGGAAATTAACCAATTGGTCAGTTCAGATTAATTTTGAGGAGGAAAAAAAAGGATTATCTAACTGTTGGCTTCTAAATGTTTCATTAGCTATTTTTAATAGTTTATTAGAAACATATATTTTATGGGAATTTTATCTTAATTACACAATGAACAAGAGATAAAGATTTATTCTGTGTTCCGTTTCAATTGATCAGTTCCAAGTACTGCCAACAGGAAACATTTTGAAGCAAAAACTGAACTTGAGAAATCCAAATCAGAATCATTTTTTTTCCCACTAAGTGAAAAGACTCTAAATCCTGATCAAAACATAAAGGAAAAAAATTTTTAATGAAAAGAACCAAAACTTCTTGGCACAGTTTAGATGGGAGGGAAGCATGAAGAAGTTTTGGTAGCTCCGTGCCTATCTGAGAAACACAGCAAACCAGTTTGCATTTAGAATGGGACTAAATTCTGAAAGATTTGGGACTTAGAATAAATTAAACAGATGAGGTTGTTTTCATGGATTGGGCCAAAAGAAAAGATTAGAACCCAGATCTGAGAATACGTGTGGAAGTTGGGACGTGCCTGAAACTCTTATCGCAAGGCAAGAGGAGACAGCTTGCGACCATTATTCCACTTATCCATTTGGACAGATGGCCCTGAAGAGTGCTAGGCTCCTTTCGTCTTCTCTATCAGTCTAATGGAGGCGACTGGAGGGCCTTTCAGCCCTTTCCTTGGCACAAGAAGTATGTCAGTCATAAATCACCGTCTTTGTAATCATTGAGGACCTCAAACAAAAACACAAGTTCAGTTAAGCTGCTTTGGCTTACAGATAGAAACTCAGATTTTCTTTCTTCATTGTTTATATTCAGTTAACACACACATGTGTGCACACATACACACAACCACAGTACTACTTAGCTTTTCTATTTGCAAACCAAGGTGTTCTTCTTTCCTCAAATGCCATGGGATCAGGAAGGAAATGTTAATTGGACAAATTCTCGGCAGAACATTTGGTTAAATACTCTGTTATAAGGAGTGAAGAGCTTATCAATATTAACTTGATTATGCATCTAATACCTTTCTTGTTTTGCTCCATTCTCATGAGTCATGCTATACTTGGGAAAGCTTTCTCTTTCCTAAATGTGTTTATCTGACTTTTCTTCATAAGATGTGAAATGTCTGTTGGTTGATTAAAGTGTATTTTCTGTGTGTGTGTGTGTGTGTGTGTGTGTGTGTGTGCATATTTTCTTTTCTTTTTCTCCTTATTTTTCCCAGCCTCTCCTTGAAGAGAGAATCCTTAGAGAAGGTTCTAGCAAGGACCCTTAATTGACCTTGTGGGGGACCACATTGATTTCCTCCACGTGCATCTTCATTTCTGATAAATTATAAAGCCATTAATTTGCTGAGGAAATGGCAGGGCCAGGCTGCGGCACAGATGTGACCAGAGCCATCCCAGCTCTGAGTCTACCGCGGAGTGCCAAGAATCCGGGCGAGAGTCAGGAAGCCAGGATTGTCATGGTTAGCCTCACTTTCTCTCGGGAACTGTTTTAGTTGCCGCTGTTTACAGATCTAAAAGGTAATGATGTTTCCAGATAAATAGGCCTTCTTATTTGGGGTAAGCGGCCATTTATTGATCTGCTAACCCACATTTATTGATCTGTTAGCCCCAACCACGGTGTCACTCTCAAAGGAGTTAACTGTAAATCCAGGACAGGCAAATTGTATTTGGTTTTGGACAGTTGCTTTAACAAAAGCGACACCCCCTCCCCGATCTCTCTGCCAAAAGTACCCCTCCCACGTTTTAGCTGTTATTTTAAAGGAAACTATTAAAAGGAGATAATAACGAGAGGAAGCAATAGAGTCAAGGAGCCCCATTCGACTAGTACTGTACCAAAAAGTAAAATGTAAAGTTGACACAAAGGTGTTCAGAATAATGCATTTTAGATGCTCACACATATCGGGGATAATTTGGTGTGAAATGTGGAGAGAACTAAAAATCAGAACCGCGACTGCGGAGAAGGAAAAAAAGTCTTACGATAAGGGTTGTGCAGCACATGTTGGGTGCATGTGTCTCCCTAGCAACAAGTGAGCATATGGATAGCATCCGGGCCTAGAACCAGGGGAAGGCCGGGCTGTCCTGCCCACCAAGTAGCTGAGAATCTGCAGCTAACTCTTGCATCCTGGCAGGCACTGGTCACTTTGTCACCAATGATCACTGTAGCCAGGGCCATGGAGCTCCCAGCATCCCCAGGGTTGCTTGGCGGGGCCTCCAGATATCCTGGGAGTGAGGCTGCTGTGGGGTCAGAAGGGACAGGTTCTTGTTGTTTGTGGATTTTTTTTTTTTTTTTTGCCTTAACCAATTGCATCCTACATGCAGGAAGGATTGTCACCCAATCACTTGAAAAAAGCAAAGCTCATGTTCTTTTATACCCGTTACCCCAGCTCCAATATGCTGAAGACTTACTTCTCCGATGTAAAGGTAGGGACTTTTATTATTATTAGATTTCTTTTTTCATTTTCTGTGCATGTGGAAGTGATTTGAACCCTTGGAAGTTAATCGAGATGAGTGTGGAATCCGTTTATGAATACACCTGTGTTGCAATGGGTTGAATGCACTTGTCCTTTGTCTAAAGGTGTGTGAGCAAAGATGCCCCTGGTGTATGAAGGTGGAAGGGCTGGTGTCCCTGGGTCACATGGATTTCCAGCATAGTCGGACAACCCTGGCTTCTGCCCTCATAGGTTTCAGTAGCTTCCTGGGAGAAAGTTCCGGTAGTAGTGGATGGTTATGCTTTAGAGAATTTTTTCCCCCTCTCCACTGCAGCAGTAACTGTTTCTGTTTTTGTTTCTGTTGGTTTCCCCATATTTGTGCCTATGAAAGCAAACTCTAGCACCTTTTTTCCCCCTGTCAAAAAGGAGCATACATTGAAATTCTCTATGCAGTAGCTGCTTAAAAACAAAAGTGATGATTGTCTCTTATTTACAACTTAATTTGTTGTTGATGTAGAGTACACTGAGCATAAGGAGAATGAATAAAGTGACAGATTCAGGACACATTATTCAAATGAGGATATGAAAGCTGTCGGCCTACAGCTGCAGCCTCCCCCATTCTACAGAATACTGGGACCTCCTGGTCTTGTGTGTGTGCATATGCATGCGTGTGTGTGCGCGCGTGTGTCTGTGTCTGTGTGTGGATTTTAAGTAATTGTTTGCATCATCTTGATGCTGTGTTAATCATCTGTAACTTTTAAAAACATAGATTGGGTTTTGATGATAATGACATGCATGGTATCATTATCCAAGGAACTTGATAAACATTACATTAGCTGAGATTACTTTATTAGGGTTGGGTTGTTCCCTCCACCCCTCTCTGCCCACCCCCGTATGTACAAGTTCTTTCTGCCACTGAGAACTCACAAGCTGCCAACACAGGCCCGCTCTGCACTGCTCCCCTTCACGCAGCGTGCTCTGTGCCCAGCGACCCAACTTGCTTCCCAGGCCCCGTTTTGCAAGCCAACTCACTTCAGCTTCCTTCGCTGATGTTTTGTTTGGCCTTATAGGAAGAGTTCTGTTTCCCCTCCTGTTTGTTTTTGAGTTGTGTATCAACTGCAGCCTTTTCTCGTCCTCCTTCCTCAGCTGTGCTCCTGAAGCGGAAGGCGTGTTTTCTCCTCATTCAGGACCAGCAGGCTGGGCAGGATGGAGCAGGCAGAGAGTCCAAAATGTAAAGGGCTGTCTGAGCTCGCGTCCCTGCACAACAGGCTGAGAGACACAGGAGGACAGGAAAGGGTGCTGGCCTTCTAGGGGTGACATCCAGGCTAGACCTGTGGAAGGGACTTGATCAGCTCGTCCGGCACTGGGCAGCTTCTAGAGCCTGGTAGACGCCGTCAAAGTTTGTCTTCCGGGTGATGCTCCCAGCGCTTTGGTCCTAAGAGAGGGCTGTGGAACAGAGGGAGCAAAGAGTTCTCGTGTGCACACACACTCACTCACACTCACACATGTGTCCCTGTTTCCTCCATTCCTCTTAGTGCAATCATCGGCAATGTGGTGATAATTATCACAGTGGCTTATATTATCTGTACAGCACTTTTCATCCAGAGGGAGGCCAGAGAGCTTTATAGACTGCACAGCCAGGGCCCACTCACCCGTCCCTGAAATGCACCCACCTGGGAGGGGGAGCCAGCAGCTACCTGAGCCAGCACCCCCGCCCCGCAGTAGATGCAGACGCTGGAAACATTCACGTTGTGTGTGCGCCTGTGTGCAGGGTGGAGGCACCGGTGGGAAGGTTATTGATCTGCAGCTTTACAAGTACTGTGCACCGGAAGCAGTCCCATTCCTTGAGAATGTGTCTAATAGTTCAGCTTTACAAAGAATTACCTACTCTGCATAAATAACAATTAAATAGCTGGTTGAAGACTTTATTTTTTTAAAAGTGTTAGTGTACAGGTTACTGATTCCATCCATACCTTCATACTAGAAGAGAAGGCTGTTAAAGGATATGTGAGTTTGGTTAAATTATAATTATCCACTCTAATGGGGAGGAGCCCACTGGACATAATACAAAGAAAACCACTGAAGTTCATTTCTCTTTTACTTTTAGAATGAATTATACATTTTAAATTTCCTAATTATGTTTTTTATTTGGCCAGTAATAAATGAATTTGTATTTCCTGAGCTACACTAATGAGAATAGGAAGTCGAACATGGAAGAGTAGAGTAGTCCAGGAATGGTGGCCTAGACTTCCAGGAAGCAATGAGAGAACGTTCTGAGATTTTGTTAGTGTTAAGCATGGTTCTGAATTTGAATGTTGACAATGTATGGCATATACACACATAGTATACATATATAATGCTGCATGTAGTGTGCATACATTATGCTAAATATAGCACATTTATATCTTTGTCTACCTAGGGAAATATACAAATGTGGATACTTCTTCACAAGGCTGAAAGAGCTATTCTCAGTATGTGAATACACACTTCAAAGCTTTATTTTGGTCAGGATTTAAGAAACCACTGCAGGATTGAAATGAGAAATGAGAAAAGCAACCTTGAGATATTATCAGCTGTGAAACCCCGTATCGGGAATTTTAAAAAAGACATACTCATGTGTCTATGGACCAAGTAATGCTTGTCATAATAACATGAGCTTTGCTTTGATTGTGACCACATTCACGGAAGACAATTTGTAGTTCTAATAAAATGTACTTTTCCAAATTGGAAAGTCATTTCCCTTCAAATAGTGATCAGAAGTTAGTTTTGCTCACAAATAAACCAAGAAAGATGATATGGGCAGAAAGCGTTTCTTTTCAAAGCTGCAGTGGGTGGTAGTGCTAGAGGGGGTTGGTCCCCAGCCAGCTAGGAAGGTAGTGGGGAGGGGAGCTGCCCTCTTGGCATTGTTTTCTAGGAGTGGACACAGTGCTCAGCTCTCCCCCAGAGAACCCACTGGGGCAGGAGGGAGATGCCTTTCAATTACTGAGGAAAGAGGTGGGGGAATCACCCACACTCCAGAGATGTTGACACAATGGGTTCTGCAGTGAAAGTGGATCTGAAGGCGAATCCCAGCTCAACTTACTTTACCTCCTAGAGTCAGGATCTACGCAAAGTTCCGCGTTCTCATGGCGAGTCCAACTTAATTCCCTCATGATGACATTTCACCAGACACAAAGCTCAGCTCACCGGGGCTTCAGATCCTCTGAGGAGGGCAAGTGAGCAAAAGGGAGAGAGGTGCCGGGGGTGGGGGGTGGACCACACTGCTTCTCTTGTTCACTACTGGGTGCTGAATTTAATGTGCAAACTAATAACTCCTAGAGCGCTAAGTGCAACAGATTCAGTGTCATTTCAGCTTTGAAGAACAGACGCTCACAGCCTTTCAAGCCAGCAGTGTTAAATGATGTATCTCCTCCCTCCACCCCTTGAGTCAACCGCTGCCTAGCCAGATTAAGGTGTCAGGTTGATTTGTTTTATACATCTTTTGACCATGCTCATTGAATATTTAGGAAGTTTCTTCAGCCCATATTGAGGCTGAGATGTCCCGTGGGAAGCATTAATCAAAGTCACAGAGACTCGTACACTGTGGAAACACAGGCTCTTTATTGTAGCGATTAGTTTTTGCAGTAACACATTAACACACTACAGAGCTTGCCTTTACAGAACAATTGATCCTTTTCTTGTAAGCCACTACACAACGCGGGAAATTAACTCTTTCAAGTTTAACACTTTTCCTCTCCCGATGCAAATATCTGGACGAGTCGGCTTGCTTTGGTTTTGCTTTTAGCCAGGAACGAACACAGCAGATTTCAGGCCCCTTCTGGTGGAGGGGAGCCCTATCCCGCAAGCTGCGGTGCTGGCCATTTGCTTGCCCTGTGTTTGGGGCCTCTGTTGTTTCTGACCATTCTTTCTCTCTGGTATTTCCATTCTCCAACAATAAGCTTTAAATCTCCCTTTATGTCCCATTCGTAAATAATGGCAAGTGCACTTACTTTTTTGTCCTCTCCCATTAGGTCATTCATGACCATTCTAGAAAAAAAAATACCCTTCTATTTTTTCCTCTACAGTACTCTTGTCCGTATGAGACAATGTCTTGTAACAATACAGAAGCCTAATCTCCATGTCAAAGCAATTTTCATTCCCCAGTGCACAGCCTGCTATCATTTTGTAATGTTTTGTTTCTTATTCTAAAAGAATTAAAAAGGAACAGTAAGCCGTCACGGGGCCTGTAGTCCTTATCTCAGTGTCTGGAAATTTGGACAGTGTATTTTACTGCTGAGATAAAATGGAAAGAACTCCAAGTTCAGCAAATCGTAATGGGTTTAAGTTCTATTGAAATCGGCAACCAGAAGATCAGATAACGGGGGTCCTTCAGTTGTCTTTTTAATCGGGTTCCCCGCGAGGCTGAATAGAGACAGAGCAGGCACACAGAGTGAAAATATAATTCTTGGATAGGTTAAGTACATGTTTGAACTCTTGCAAGCAGAAGCGATTTGCTGATGACTTAATCATTTTCTGGTCAATTATCTGTAAGGGCTCTTGCAACTCCATGGCAATTATGATGCAAGTTGGCCTTTTGGGAGAAACACCAGTCTCCCTGCTTCTGGTTCCTTGTTACTTCCATTCTCTACCATAAATTTTCATTCAGTTATTATCTTTGCTAGTATGGAAACAACTTTCTGTGTAGTAATTAAGGCCCCGATACACACTTTAGCTGTCATCTTGTGGGAGTCTGGATGTTCTCATGGCCAGTTCGATAAGTGCTCTTTGTTGATTTTTGATGAATGTACATCTTTTTCTGGGGGCCCAGGGAAGGGATGACAAAAGGCAGGGGGTGTCTGTCAGCCCGCCTAATGTAAAGCTTTGGATTTATTGGTTTTGACTTGGCAAGTTGAGACGCATCTGTCCTTTACACAAACAGAGGACTGTCAATAAGGATGGTATCATTTGCAGCACACCCAGGAAGACACCGTCATTGCAAAGGTCACTGGGAAACCTTGGTAAACAAAGTTTTAATGCCTAACCATGTTCTAGTAACTTGCCATTTCGAAAACATGTCATAAAGGCTGTGTTTCTCTGGTCTTAACTGTGCCTCCCAAGTGGCAGTAGCACCCAGGGAAGAGGGCGTGGGTCTTATCCAAAGCTGGCTGCTGGGGACAGAGGAACAGGTACCAAGGTCGGAGCGGACCACACCAGAAGCTAATGCTATGGGCAAACAGTAAGCGGAGGTGGAGCCAGATGGGCGTGGGTGGGGATCTCCTATGACCAAAACCCAAGCGGGTACCAGATTCCTCCTGTTTGGTTGGCCAGCCATTTTCCTGGGTTGAAGGAGCTGTCATGTGATGGTGTGAACTCTCATTTTTAAACATGCAGGTCACAAAAAATGTGGATCACACTAGTGGTACCATTATGGGGCTTGCAGTCTTTCACACTTGAGAGTGATAATTCTTCCTGGGGGTCTGTGGCTTGAATGGATTTCCATAAGAAATGCGCAGGTGCATTTTGTGCTACTGAAAGGCGAAAATCAGTGTTATTTTTAAAAGATACTCAGCTCAAGGAATATCTGACTTAGTATGTGAGCTTTGCATTGGAAATGTGGAGGACCATGATGTGATTTCCATTAGTGATCTATTTTATAATAATTCTCTAGGTAAATCATTGCTCCTGCCTCTCCTGACGCCATTTTGGTGCAAATGCTTTCGTTTCCAAGTAAAGAGGAGAGGGGAACTTTAAAAATGTGTCAAATGTTTTAAAAAAATAAATGAACAAGATGGTGATATTCTTATTTTTATCAACATTTGAATTTATCAGTTCAACAGATGCATTACCTCTCAGCTCATCAAGTGGTTTAGCAATTTCCGCGAGTTTTACTACATTCAGATGGAGAAGTACGCCCGTCAAGCCATCAACGATGGGGTCACCAGCACGGAAGAGTTGTCCATAACCAGAGACTGCGAGCTGTACAGGGCCCTGAACATGCACTACAATAAAGCAAATGACTTTGAGGTAGGAACTAATCTTCATTTTTTGGTCATCTCCCTTTTACCTTATATAAAATTTGATTTTTTTAAGAAATGTTTCCCCCTGGGTTTTTATGATGGTCTCCTACATTACCACACCAGCAGAGGAACAGGTAAAGCAACATTGTAGACCTTCCCATCAGAACCAGAGGGAGTGGACCCACTGCTATTTCTGGTCCCATTCACTGGCTCTTTAGCCCCACTGAGTTACAGAAAAGAGAACTGAAGAGTCCACAGAAAAGGGCAGCAAGGAGCAGATACAGCGTGACTTCTCCAGGGAAGAGGTCCCTGCTCCAATAGACCTTCTCCACACTTCGAATCTGGGCAGTCAGTAGAGTTGATATATGTTACATGCAATGGTAGGTACAAAAGTTGTTTTCTGAAAAAGTCTAGAACTGTTGATGGGGAAGTAATCCCATGGTTTCTGATTTGAATCACCTTTCATTTCCTGGATGGCAGAAATGATAGGAGAATTTACTGAATATATATCAGAAAAGATCCGTGCATATCTTTGGGAGGGTGGTTTTATTTTTATTTTTGAGGTTTGAGGAGGAGAGACTTGTGCGTTGATGTTGTGTGTGTGTGTGTGTATCTTCCCAATTGTATTGCCCTGTCTCGCTGTGCTCATAGACAGTCTTGTGTGTATCTACAACATGCTCATTCTAGACACACAGAGCAGCGTGGAAAGTTCCCAGTGAGCTATACCCATACCTGAGGGACAATGAAAGATGCAGAGCTATGCGTGAGCTGTTTCTGTACAGGCGAATGGGGTGCCTCAGCGCACAGTTCTCAGCCCCATGTGACGGGTCTCGTCTCCATGGGACAACACTGGAAAATCTCCCAGGACTCTCAAGGCATTTTGCTGAGCCCTGTGGGCTAAGGCAGCAATAGTTGGACGTGGGAATGTGGCAAGACTTCTGCAGACCAAACCCCCAGTGAGGAAGACAGGCTGGGTGGGCAGATTTGGTGCATTTTTTGTTTTGTCTTGACTAGACATTGTGCCCCCCTGAGGGTAGGACTTTTTCCCCCTACATCTGCTTTTAAAGGGATCTTCTGTTAATGTTCTTGCTTTGCTCCTGCAGCTAGGTATCTAGGAATACCCAGAAAGCTCTTATTCATGGAAGAGAGGGGCACATTGGCCTGACCCTGTGAGTACAGGGACCTCACCCCTCCCTGCTTGCTCATTTTCTTGTCCCTTCTCCTTAATGTCCTGGGCAGTGCAGGTCAGTGATGGGGGTTTATAAAGAACAAAGTGTGTGAGCTTAGCACCTGGGAAGTCATTGCTTCTTCTTGAAAATTGGAATGATTATTCTATAAGCTACCAGTGTACCTCTGCATGGTACGTACAAGGTACCAATGTATTTCTGCTAAACATGTTGTAGATGAACTTTTTCTTTTGCTGACCACATTAAAAGGAGAGACTTTTAGAGTGCTGATCCACTCTTCTAAAATCAGTATATTTTTTAAGTCTCTGTTGTAACAGAGCCCTGGTTTATTATGTGGACAGAACACAAGCAAATTTCTTCTAAAGCTAGAGAGTGTGGCTAAAGATTTTAAAGACATCTTGTTAAGAGTTTCATTTCTTTCCCTCCCTTTTTGATAGGTCTGTTACCCTAAACCGTAAGAGACTTCTGCTGTGTGCTAGTAAATTATTTACTTTATATTATGACACAAATAGTCACCAGGCAGCATGCATCAACCTTCATAAAAGAATTGCCTGAGATTCATCAGCTGATTTCTGCATTTCTGCTGTGTAATGTACTCAAGGCAACAAATCCTGAAAGTGCACATTAGGATTTGTAGGGCTGTTTAAACCTTACCTGGTTGGAATTTAATCCCCTCCTCTCTCCACAAGGACCAAAATGACATAAACAGTAGACACTGGCATCAAGAGATACCCACCGAACAAGCTGCTCCATTTAGCATCATCTAAATCCGTCTCTAATATGATTAACATCTGATATTTCTCTCTTTGTGAATCAGAGCCACTTCCAGCCAGGCCACCTCTACTTTATCTGCAGTGTCTATTTTAAGACTGCCTTGCAAGGAGCTTGGAGCCTGGGCTGGAATTTTGTCACTTCACATGTGACTTTAGACAAGTTATTAGACTATGCTGGGCCTAATTCCCCGTTCGCTAAAAAACACTCTTTCCAGAAGTGTGAGAAGTAGAGTTTTTAATTTAGCCTCATGGCCTGGCACTTTTGTTATTAGTATTTTGTTAGTAATAACGAAAGTCTCAGATAAGAGGGTTCCTTTCTTTCTGTGCCACGGGGCATAGAGGTCTCTGCTTAAGTGAGATGCTTCAGAAGCCGCCGTCCTTATCACTAGAGCTTTCCCAGTGTGGACCATGGCTGCGAGCCAAAAGTGGACCGGCCACCTCCAGCCAAATGCCTCCACGATAGTGTATGCTGTGCTTCTCTTCCGAATTGAGGTTTCTTAAGATCACGTGAAGCAGGCTGTGGGTTAAGAATGAGCAAGTGGAGGGCATGGCAAAGTAGGAACCCTTCTTTCAATTTTCCAAAAGATGTGACGTGTGGTAGAAAGAGCGCAGTTGTACCTACCTACTGCCCAAGGAGCCAGTCGACGCAGAGGAATACATTAGCCCACCTGAGAATGAGTGGGCCGCAAAACCAAATGTCTTATTGATTGCACATTTAAATTTCTTCATCAGTTGTTTATAGCAACAATAACGCGGCTAACGTCTATTGACCATTTGCTAATGTTCCAGCCGTTTTCTGAAGCGTTTCACCAATATTAACTTACGTACGTGGACAGTAATAATGACCCCAACATTAACAGAATAGAAACAGTCCGGTTTGATTAAAACTTTATGTTTTGGAATTTATTCTAAATGGATGGGCGCAAGTAGAGCCAGGGTTGATGAAGATCTTTTCGTTTGCTAGGAGAGTTTCTTCCTTCCCTTCTCCTCTCTACGCCTTGGCTTTTTTTGGCTGTCTGCTCTGTCTCTGCTCTGTCACAGCTTGCCGTGGCACCTCTGTCTCTCCTTACCCCTCCCCTCCTGTCCCTGCTGCTGATGGCTCTCCAGGCTGGAGAGGCGGCTGACCCCTGGCCTACGGGAAAATAAAGCAGATGGGGAAGGTTTATCACTGGCAGAGAGGGAGTGGCTTGCGTCTCTCTCTTGTGGACCCTGCATTTCCTGCCTTTCATGAGTCAGAACCTTCTAAGTGACAGGAGAGCTAGTTCTGCCTTTTGTATCAGTTTACACAATTGCCAAGATTCTTGGCACAGTGTCCAGACTTAGGGTGGTGAGAGTTTGAGATGTCCCAGGGGATGTGGAAGAAGAGGCATTGAAGGGGGAGGGGGAAAAAAGCAGCACACTTTTGGTTTGTGCTAGGGCAAGGGAAGCTGTCTGCTTGGCACGGGGCGGGGCGCCTGGCCCGGAGCGGGCGGCGGCAGAGGTGTGCCCGGGAGGGGTGTTCAGTTACGGGCCTTTCTCTCGCTCCTGCCTCTCACATGCAGTGAGATTGGCAACGATAAATTTGTCTTTCCAGGTGTGACGGTATATATTTCCACGCTTTGAAGAGCTTCCAAAAAGTTTATTTTATTTTCTTTTTTCTGGAGAGGGAAAGGGGTCTTGGCATTCCTTCTCAGTTTTTAAATCATTCAGATACTTCTGACTTTAGGGGCAGATGAGTTGTTTTTCGTTACTTTTTTTTTTTCCATCTCCCTCACAACTGTAGCAGAGCAGGCAGCTCAGGATCGCTGTCAAGCTTCTGGGGCCAGTTTACCAGTTGTGCAGAGAACCCAACTCATCTCACTGACAAAGGTTACTTGTGCTAAAAAAGCAGCCCAGGGCCCCCAAGATTTGACTGCATTCTCCAGGGTACAGCTGAGAAAGGAAAACGCTGGGGGTTGTGGGTGTAGATGGAGAGGAGACCGTGGCGGGCACTTCGTCGGGCACAGGGTGCACTCTGTCAGTCTGGGGTGCCCTGACACCCGATCCCCACTGCCGCCGCTGTGGAAAGCCAGGCAGCCGACGTTCCTGCCCTGCTCAGTCATTACCTGTGGGCTGTGTCCAGGCTGCCAGAGAGAAGGGCTAATCTCCCTGCCCTCAGGAAAGGCCCGGGTTTGGGCGGTGAAAGGTTTGCAAATGCACAGACTAGAGAACCTGACTTCTCCATCCAGGGGCTCGGAAGTACCACTCCCTAAGGTGCTGGTGGGACCAGCGTGCTCTCAGGGGAATGGGCCACCTCAGACTCCAGGTGACACGTGACGTGGCGGGCAAGAGGGGCCCTCCCGCAGGCCTCCTCCTGAAGTCCCTCCCTTTCTTCTGGAAAACGGGAAATCAAACAGCGGCGCCCCCTCCCGCGGACCCCCGACTGAATCTATCCTCTCGAGCGGACCGAATACACCCTCTCCATCACGCCCCTCCCACCCCCCCCCCGCCTTCCAGCAAACCCACGTCTGAGTGAATATATCTGGAAATCTTTCACTCACGTTGTCACCTCTTTAAAGAAGAATGAGGACAGGTGGATTTAGGAAGCGCTTTCCTCTGCTCCAAACAGATACTTAAATATGAGTGATCGCGCAGCAAGCTGGCACGTGATTACAGACCGCTCTCCGCTCTCGCTGTCTCTTGGCTGGGCCGTCCAAGAGCTCGTACAACGCACTCTTGGTGGGTGGCGAGGAGGAAGAGAAACACTTACCATTTCTTCCCTTGCCAGTGTCGCCATTGACAAGCCAAATTGATCTTTTAAGCGACTAAATGAATGCTCCCTAAATATATGTAGACACATGGCTGTCTGGGAGCTTGTTCCTTCTGCAGAGAGATTGCCTGAAATGCTGCAAGTGCGGCTGAAGGGCGGGGGGCTGGGGGTGGCACCCCGAGGGAGCACGAGGCTCATTCTGTGCCACCGTCCTTTGAGATTCAAGGTGTTCATCAGTATAATGAAGCGAGCCCATTGATTTATCATCTATTTGGTAATGTCATTGCATTTTTAGCTCCCTGTGTCTTTTTTGTCATTG